TCGTTGTGCACCTTAGGTAACGCTAAATCTGCTACAACGATTGCCGCTCTCCTCTCTCGCCTAATGACTAGAGAGTTAATGGCCTGCCATTTGTTTCTTTGTATGAATTGAAAAAGAAGAGAATTTGTTTATCAGATCTGATACTGGGGGAGACAGAAATTAATTTGTTACAAGAAGCCAATGTAATTGGCACTGTCTTTATAGAGCTTTTTTGTGAAATTGAGCTGTGGCTTGTACGAGTATTTGGTAAATACTCGCTCAGAAAGTGTTTTGATAGGAAATTGCAATACTTCTCAAACTGAGAAAAGTAATGACCTGATTTATAATGTTATATTTTTGCAAGTGAGTAAGTTATCAGTTAGTAAATTATGGAGGATAGAAATTTTTGGGATTTCAGACCCTCGTCAAACAAAAATATAATATCGGAAATAAGGGCATTGCCTTCTAATAAAGAATTAACATGGAAGGAAGCGTCACTAGAGAATGTGTAAGTGCACAAAAGATAAATTAATTTTGGATGAATATAAGCATATATTTCAGGAGTGGGAGAAATTGGGTATTATCGAAAGGGTTACTGATAGTACCGAAAGTGGCCATTTTTTATTTCATCGGCCTGTTTACTAGAAGTGACAGTGCAACAACACAAATCAGACTCGTGTTTGATTCATATTGTTGGGAAGGACCGTTTTAGCTGAGGGAATCTTCCGATTGTGGGTCCACGGCTGAAATAATAAGAAATGAATCTTCTAAAACCGCTCCTGAAAGGAGAAAAGTCAAACTTCATCAAATAAATTTATCAAAATGTCAGTTGCCATGGTAACTAGAAAAATACTCCTTTTTAACATTTGAGTTTGAGGTTAGTGGCTTGGATATCGATATTTGTTAATAATGTCAAGTCAAATTATAAAAACAGTTAGAAAAAGGGGATTTAAAGTTACAAGAGATTCAGGATGCTAAGGTTATAATAATACGAGAAGTACAGAAGGAATGTTTTCCTCTTGAAAAAGGAATGGCACACCTGTATACATTCAAAGATCAAGAAGAAATTACTCTGAAATCTCATACAACCGAAAAATTGATAAACCAGAGTTTATACCGCCAACCGTATTGCCTGAGGATTATGTGTTTGCACAAAGACGTATTGAGTATTTTAATCGTGAGATTAGTCATGCAGGATCTCAAATGTTACTACGCGAAAAATATTGGACCCTTAAAGATAGGAAAACAGTTCAAAATGTTTTGAAAGATTGTATCAAGTGTCAAGGATTTAAGTCTCAATCATTAACGGCAGATTCAGCCGTACTGCCTGCAGACAGAATTGAAAATGCGTCTGTGTTTGAGAATATGGCAATAGATTAAGCAAAATCCTTATGTGTTAAGTACGGTGACAAAGTACGGAAAGTTTGTTTATATGTGCCATATACATAACTGTATACTTGAAGATAGTTTCATCTCTATCTCCAGAAGCATTCCTGCTTTCATTTAGACGTTTATAGAGAGACGAGGACGACCTAGAATCGTGTATTGTGACAATGGTACGAATTTATAGTTACTTAAAAGAAATAGATGAGAGAGAGAGCGAATAAATCGATTAGCTGAGGTATTCAATGTATTATGTGGAAGTTTCTTCCTCTCACGGCAGGCTGGTGAGAGAGACTTGTTAGAATCGTTGAAAAGCTCCTTAGAAGATCTTTAGGCAAAGCTCTCATGATTTACGAAGAATTAAGGATAATAATATGTGATTGGGAAAGTCATGAATTCCCAATCTTTATCATATTTATCAAAAGACATGAAAGATCCGATTCCATTAACTCCAGCCATGTTCTTAACCCACAGACCGACAGACTGAATTCAGAAATTACAGAAATCGGCGAGTTTGGTGCTCACAGTTTACGGAAAAGATAAAGTATCGCGCTAAGTTAAATTGAACATTTAAGATTCATTTTATGAAGTAGTATTTAGGGCAATTTATGCAGAGACATTGGCAAAGTCCTCAAATATATAGTATTCAAGTCGACGACATCGTCTTAGTGAAATATGATTTCAAAAGCACTGAAACTGCAGAAGAATTGTCATGCAGGAAACATGAACACGGCCTTTAGGCAGAGTCACTGAATTATTTCCAGAGATGCCCATTTAAGACTTGCCGCTGGAGCCTGTTCGTACAGAAGTTCCTTCTTCCAGTGATTGGCCAGAACAGTCGCCAGATACGGATGGTGGCAACTCCAGAAATTCTCCAAAGACTGTAACTCGTTCTTGTCGTTCTCTCAAGAAACTGCACGGAGACTGAATTTAAGTTTTATTGACAGTTTTTGAGTAGCTATACAGCAACTCAAAAGGCAGAAGGTATGTTGCGAATGGCATCATTTCGGTTGTCAATCAGAGCGATTCAAGGACTGACGTCGCGGGATGAACTGATACATTTGAATTTCCTAATACTGTAGATAACTATGTAACTTCTTGGAAATTAGATGTAGTCAGAAAATGTTTGTATGTTCAATGTAGGTTTTCATGTAATTAAATTGTGTTTTGTAATATTCATTTTATCTTTCCATTTTAGGAGTTATCGAGGAGTTAGTGGAAGGCATGGGACATGTACCTGCTTACCTTTATTAGACATCAGATGTCCCCGTCCTCCGTCACCTGTCACCTGTAGCTGCGCAGATGTTTGAACAAGATCCTCCTCACTGTCTACGCATGCCCCCCTGGGCTTGACTCAGGAGAATTCCTGGAAAGTACTAGCTAAAATCTGTACTTAGGCAGTCTCAACCAATGGAGTATATAATCAGTCTTCACAAGACTAGAACCTCCCTTCATTCGGGGCATGGTTCAGGCTCGGCAGGGACCGTATTGGTACAGTCTTGTTTGCCCCTTGGCCGTGGGGTCGCAACATTGTTAGATATTGTAGCTGACCTTGGGGGTTTGCTCCCCTTCGGTTCTCTCTGGGAGACCGACATTACAAACGGAATTTCATCATCTTTTGTTTATGTGGCTGCCTGGGTAGCGTACGGTAGCAGTGTTGTGGGGACCGCGGGGGCTGCGCTCGCTCGAATGGTCCCCGGAGTGCGGATTCTGATTCCTTAAAGGCTAAGCTGCTTGGCTCAGGGGTCCGTCTCTGGCAGTCTGTCTGTTTGTCTGTTTGTCCACATATGTATTGTACACCAAACCTTTCCTGTGACGCCAGAAAGAAAAACATGTTCAACGTGTATACACACGTTGCATGTGTATGTATACACACATACATGAACACTTACTTTCATACATGCATACCTACACACACTTCTGAATTATCAAAGGAGCATCGAAAGCTACTTTAAGCATTAGTGTTTGTGCAGCAAGATGCACTCAAAATGCAAGGTGAACCGAAAGTCGTCTCGAGAGGTGTGTAGTAGCAGAAAAAGGATAGGAGACTCTCAGACAGCCCCTCGGGGTGTTCTCCCTCAAAATTGGGAAGGAAGTTTGAGAGTTTGCAAGCCATGGTAATTCCTAATATATACCAACTGGAATGCATAGGTACCAGTCTTGCTTCAACCTGTATCTATACCTTTGCCATGGGTTGTCGAATGACAGTCTTCCTGCGCAAACTTCATATAAGTTCCGCAACAACTCATTCCCTGCATTACCATGTGATCTCAATTCGTTTATCTTCTCAAAAAGGTTTCAATTCATCAAATGCATATACCAAATTTTGAGTTTTTCAGCATAGTTGATAATTATTTTAATAATTTAATGATTTACTAACAATAGCGTTATTATGATGTTAGTTAAATCTATAAAAACCGAATAAAATTTGGAAAAACATTTTTATATACTTCATTAGATAGCTTTACAAATTTACTTTGCTTATAATTATTATTGAAGATTTTCAAAGTTTAGAAAAGGTATGCCTTCTAAGACATGTATTACTACAGGTAATTTTTTTTTCCTGAATTTAAATTAAAACTGAATTCAAAAGCGTACTAATAAGTTTAGTACAAAGCATTTATAAATGTAATAAAATACTCTTAAATCTTTAATTTGCCTTATTATGTTTCTGAGGTATGGTCGTTCCAGAAATAAATGAATAAATTCACTTGAAATTACCTATTAATTGAGGATGTGAAAACTATTTTAAGCAAAGTGAAGTAATTGCATATATTCTCATGGAAAAAAATCGTCAAGTATTTAAATGTCATTTACATGATCAAAGCCCTTTTTAAAAACCCTCAAAATTTTGAAAGCTTAAATGCATTATTAGATAATTTACGAAACACAATATAATTAAGAAATACAAATTCTAAGATATTTGGGATATTCTATTATATTAAGAATTACAAATATAAGACATACAATTCATTGTGCAATACATGGAATTTTTAATTTGCATTTACGACTTGCATAATAAATTGAAATTATCAAAAATCGAAATCTTATATTTAATCGAAAGCGAATGTAATCATTATTTCGCTGCAGAGTTTAATAAAATACGTGGCGCATGACATAAACCTTACATTTTGAAAAGCATTAGTTTTCCAGGACTGCTTTAATTTTTGTAGTGTCATTAGGTATTTTTCGGAGCAGGAGAGGTAAAAAATGTGCATTAGAGACATTAGCTTATACTGATACAGGAGAATGAAAAACATGCATTGCCGTCGGCCTGACTCGAACACCGGACCTCTTGAATACGGGTCATGTATGCTTCCAATTACATCACAAAGACATGTGGAAAAGAGGGAGAAAACACCTCATAAATCAATAAATAGTTATTAAATATTTTCAAGTAGTTATCAGTCGAAGATACTGTAATTCAAACTCAAAACTTCTATTGTTTTATTTAATTATCGTTTCCAATTAAAATTCAGTGTACGTTTTTAATAGTCTAAGGATATTTTTTCTTCCTTTGCGGCTTTCTAGCTGCTGTTTTCTTTGACGAAACTACGCGACAAGTAATTGTTTCGCTCATTTTTGCTCTAATAGGTATACAAGATTTTATTTCAGATAACAAAACTTTGGATACTTACGGTGGAATTCCATCGATTTCAAATGATGTAAATGTGATTTTCACCCTCTCTTTTTCTCTTCCTCTAAATATGTAAACGCATTCTGTGTCCCTCGGGTAGTAACCTGGATAATTTGGAGAACTGAAGGTGCCGTTACTTCTTTCTTCACTCTTGAAAAGGAATTCACATGCTGCAAAAATTTATGAAACGTTTTAATCAGAAGAGTCTATTTCAATGCATTTGCCTTCACATGAATTCCTTTCGTATAATATTTTGATGATTATTTTCAAATAGCATACATAACAAAAAAAAAAAAAAACATTTTAACAATGAGCTAAAACAAAGCAGTTTGCTTATGAATAAGATGAAGAATTTCTGAAACTCTGAAAGTTACCATTTCATTGTAACAAAGATTAAAACCTGTCAAGTAACTGAACAGTTGAAAAGTATATTACTCTCCAAGACTGAAATGAAAGGAAAGGAAATTTTCATACTTATTTCAATATTATTCCTTTAGACATTTCCGATGCTTTAGACATTTCTGAAGTATTTGCAAATCAAGTGTGAATGTTTATAGAGGGAACATGTAGAGAAAATTTAAAATGTGTATTGTGGCTCTTTTATTATTCCACTGATTTAAATCAGACCATCTACCAATATTTTGCACATACCTTTGAACTAACATTTAACTCTTGAACCCTATACCTTCGTGAGTGAGACTACTTGTGTCTTCCTTATTCTCAGTAGCAAAATATATAACAATAAATATTGAAAGTATATATAATAAATATTGGAAGCATTTTACCAAAAGTCTATTTGTCATAAATATTGACATTTCTAAATTACTTTTAGTTAGAAGTTGGATAAGCTATCAACAATGATGTCCAGTATTAAATTTAACCACAAAACCTACTTATACTACGGTTAGTTTTGCCACATTTTACCTATACTGCTATCCAAACTTAAACTTAATAACTATAAAAGTAATGAAATTTCAACCAATTAATCGGACTTATAGTTTTATAGAATGATCAAAAGATAAGTCTAATTAATATTATCTAATTCAAATTGACCAGTCTGCTTCTGAAATGTAGACAATGGCATGATGTCATCGAAAGGCGTAACAAGCACTTTGCGAAAAGAACATTTCTTCGCGATTGAACGCCTGCAATTTAGGGTTTGTTTACAGCATTGACAGAACCGATGCTTTAAAGCAATTAAATTGCTTTAAAGCATCGCTTGGTAGAGTTCTTTTGAAGTGAAGACCTGCCGGCATACTGTTTAAAGGCAGGGCAGATAACTGGAAGTGGAAGTACCAAGATAAACTGAATTTCTTTCAGGCACAAAGTCTGCCGTCTGAACACAAGTCTCTAAAACCCTTACAAAATCGTAGAAGAAAACGAAATGCTTTTCAAAATAGATTTCTGTCCGTAGCTGCTAATCGCTACAGAAATTCTGCTGCTAGCCATATTTGCAGAAGTCGTCTGAACTTCCGTAATTTTCAGCAAATGTGACGTAAAAGACTGAACAGGAATGCTATTTATGACTGAAAGCCAAAGTTCTGTATTTCGTTGACTTCATAATGAAACAAAACTTGCTCGAATGGTTGCAGATAACATCACAGCTGAAATATACAATTTCTTCTGAGAGAAATGGGGGTTCACATTAATTCATGATTCGAAGGACGCTTACATTTGGAGAGAACCCGGAGGACGAAATATTTGCACGCACAGAAGGAAACATAGCTACTTCGTCAATGCAGATGTGAAATTTTGAAACGAAGTGATGATGAATAAAGTGCATTTAAGTGTGCATTTAAAGGTAAGGTTAATCACCGACATATTTTCATTAAAGTAGGAAACGATACTGAATTGTAAAGAAAAGTGTTTGGAATGCATCCATTTATAATCAACACAGTTTGAACCAAGAAAAATGGATAGACTTTTATAAATCTAAAAGCACTCTTTAAGAAAACAGAAAAAAATCGCATATTTACAGGAGCATTTTCAGTTTATAAACGCAAAAGCAATTGGAGAAATACTTGGAAATACACTGAAGTGCCACTGAATTAGAGATAGCAAGTCCATAACGAATCGGGCCTTATATGGTTTTGATAATGGCTGCCACACGATGAGGCATAGATTCAATACGTTTGCGAAAGCATTCTACGGGAATGGCTTGCCAGACGTCTAATAGAGCTATCCATAACTGATGAAGGGTCGCTATTGTTACGTGACGTGGCTTCACACCTTTCTCCAAAATATCCGAAAGGTGCTCAGTAGGATTTAAGTCGAGGCTTCTAGGTATCTAATTCATAACACAGAAGTTATAGGAATGTGCATCCATCCAGGCAGTAGCCAACTGGGACCTGTACCAGGTGCATTTCTCTTGCTGGAATACTCCATTCCCGTGTAAATGACAGGACAACATAAATGGACGGAGATGATCTCCCAGCAATTCTAGGTGCCGAATCATACTGAGGGAGGCTGGTACAAATACGAAGTTCCCACACACTGCCAAAGGAAAACAACCCAGACCATTATCGAGCTGCAATAGCCTTGTACAGTTCCTAGCAATCATACGGGATCCATGGCTTTATGATCCTGACGCCATGTTTTCAACCTCCTATTAGTATCAAATGGTCCGAGTAGAGATTCATCACTTCATGCTACTCGTTTCTACTGTTCTAGAATCCGTTCTTTGTGTTCTCTTGCCCAGACAAGACCTGCAGCTCAATGCCATGCAATGAAGATTGATTCTCTCGTGAATTTACGGCTTCCGAAGCGCATAAAGTGAAGCAAGCGTTGCACGATTCATTTTCTGACTACACGACTTCTGCCCTGATTCAGCTGGTTGGCAATTTGAGCTCATGTTTGCTTCGTTGACTATGTGCAGTACAAATGAGCTATCTCCCACCACTCTCGTCCGAGGCTTATTGTCCTTTGCAATTTTCCCGATCGCTAGTTCCTTTTCCCACTATCCGTGTATTCTGAGTGTACTCTTGACACTGTCGACTTCAGTAATCCTAGTCCTTTGACGATTTCGGAAATTGAATGATCCATGCATCGAGCACCTACTATCTGTCCTCGATTGAAGGTGTCTAAATCAGAAGCTTTACTCATATTGGCAACTGAAATGATTGATTAACCCCTTAACTGCCGCGAGCGTATATATACGCCTTGCTCAGCCGATGCGTTAACTGCCCCGGGAGTATATATATGCCCTTCCAAACTACTATCATATGCTTTCCGCTGCTACCCGTATCGCAAAGCATTTTAGGTATCTTTTTTATTATACTTAAATTTTTTTCATTATACTTTTACTCAAAACATTAAATTTTGTGCATTTATTTTTTTTATTATTCTTTGCAAGTAAACCGTTTGTGAAAGTAAAACTTGCACTTATTTTCCTCCTAATACATCGCATAACTACGCGTGCCTGTGTGAAAAACCGTGGCACTGGTAAATGAATCTTGTACGTTTTCCGCGGCAGTTAAGGGGTTAACAACAACCATAGTACTAGCTAAACATACAGTTACCGCAACGCCCTCACGTCATCATAAATGCTGTGCAGCGTTATAAAATAATTTGCATAGCCATGTCTGTGTGTATTGTGTGTATATTTTAATTATGGCAAAGCTCACGAGGGCTATCTGCCTAAGGGAAAGGATGCCTTCGTGGAGGACTTTCTAAGGGAAACTGGCTCGTATACACGTTACACATGGGGAAAACGCCCATGCAGCCAGCCCGTTCGCGGGATTCGAACCTCGGACCGAACTACCAGTGTTCAGCGACTTTACCGCTCGGCCGCTGGTGGGCCATAGCCATGTCTATCCCTATTTCAGTGGTACTTCAGTGTATTATTCTTGTCGGTTGTTGGCGGTTACTCCGCAGAAAAACTAGAAAAACTAGAAATGCTTGCGAGTGTAACATTTAGAATTTTGTAGCTTGGGAATGGCAACCGATTGAAGACGTGTAAAAGGAGAAATAAGCCACCTTAACTGTTCTGTATCATGCTTTAGAATTCTGTGTAAATTAGTTTTGATACTTATGAATGAACACTTTTTATTTTACAAGTACTGAAACCATCATTAGTAGAAATAGTACTCAAAACGTCTTTATCATATATACTATCAGGAGAAGCAGTATTTAGAAGAAATAGAAAAACATACTAGACACACTAAAGAAAACTATTCAGCTTCTGAACAGAATATGAAAGGAGCTAAAGTTTCGTTTTCCAGTGTCTTATATGCAAGTCAAAGCACTAAAATAGATAACAGTAATAGGTAACATATATTACCATAAACTTACGGCAAATGAACTAAATGACAGACTATAAAAACTAATGCGAGGAGCTAAAAACATAATTTCAATTTTAAAAGATTATTAAAAACATTTCTTTCTAGATGTTAGAATGATTTCTAATAAATCATATTTAAAGCAATTTTTTTAACTTATTCTATTTAAAAATTGTATTTAAAAGATAGTGAATGTCCTTATTTCTCTGAATTATGTCTCCATACAAATTGTTTACATTATTTATTAATTCTTAGCTGCTTAGAAAAATTTATTAATATTATAAACATTCTTATGCTTTATTGTGAGTAGTGAGTTTCCTATATTTTGATATATCGAAATTATGCTTATTTGCAGGATATTGGCATGTTCTGTTCGTTTCTGCTGAACTGTACAACCCATCACCATATACACAGACCACTTCAATAATTTAGATAAGCCAACATTTTAAATGCGAGTTATATTTTTAGCAGACGGATTACATTAATTTGAAATTTTTCAGTTTACTTTTAATATCTCATAACATCATTAAGCAGTTTAATGATTTTAACACCATTAACCACTGATGCTAATGAATGCTATTAAATAATGATCAAAACAGGAGATGATATTGTTTCCAATCGATGGTGCATAAAACCTTTCATTTATCTTCTTTAGTGTAAAAGAACATTATTCATTAACGTAAGAAAATAAAATGATTTAAAAGTCAATTAATCTGGCTGTCTTAGCAGCATTTTGCACAAGTATTATTCTGGGCTATGCATGTCAGAAATAAAACAGATTGCCAACGTCTTACGACAGGTCGATTGTAAAATTTCAAATTCTATACTTTGTGCAAACTATCGTCTATATCCAAATAAATATATGCTTGAGCTAAAATTTATAATGACATACA